TTGTTCGATGACATTTTGGATTACCATATCGGTGACCTACTGGTTTCTATCTCGGTGACATCTGGTGCTACCTACATCTCCCACCTCCTTCGTCTCTCCTCCCACCTCTCATCTGTGTATGTTTGTACGGGACCTGAGCATCGTCTGTGCTTGGCTCAGACCCCAACATCTCACGATTGTTTGTGTGTGGAGTGATATCTGTGTGAGTCAGTCTATGTGAGTCAGTCCATTATCCGACTTCCGCTGCATACATGCTCATCCTATATTGGTTGATCTTTGGTTCTGCCCCATGCTCGTTGAAGTATTCACGAGTATGTAACATCAACACTTGGGACAAGGCTCCTTGCCCTCTTTCTGCCCTCTTCTACCAAGGTCGTTCCGTTATCTGTGGGACGGAATAATTTTCCTCAACACTTGGGACATGGCTCTTGCTCGTCTCCGAGAGGGTGCTCGTCTCCGAGAGGGTGTTGGAGACGAGCACCGGTTACCTGTGGAACGGAAGAATTTTCCTGTGGGGCAAGGGCTCCTTCCCTTACCCCTTAGGGACTGAAGCTCTTACCCTCCCCTCTGGGGCTAAGGCTCGTTTCCTTCCCTCTGGTCTGGGACCAAATCTCTTTCCCAGGGAAGAAGAAGGGGCTCTGTCCCAATGGAACAGCATTCGTTGCTGTTTGGGACAAGGGCCCTTTCACTCCGGCCCTCCGGGACAAGGGCCCATTCACTCCGGGACAAAGTCCCCTAGGACTCCGGGACAGGGGCCTTCGCCCTGTGGGACAAAGAGCCCTTTCATCTGGGAGCAGGTAACAGACAAGCGCCCTTGTGGGGCCTTACCCTCAGCTGCCTTTGGCTCCAGAACAAGGGCAAAGACAAACGGCCCTCCATCTGGGACCAAGGACCCCTCCATCTGGGACCAAGGACCCCTCCAGCTGGGACCAAGGACTGGAGGAAAAGAAGAGCGTAAGCTTGGGACAGCCATCCTCCCAAAATTGCATCTGTACCCCAATTGAAGAGGGAACTGGGTCGACCCAGTCCCAGCGCCCAACTTGAATATGTTTCCAGGTCCCTGTCCAGCATAGTGTAGTACCCAACCTTTCTGCTGCACCAAGTTATACGTGTACCCCATTTCTGGCCGCAAGCAACAAGAACCACGATAACTCTCTCTCTCTCTCTCTCTCTCTCTCTCTCTCTCTCTCTCCCTCCGCCCCCCTCTTCCGATGGACCATGGATCACAAACTAAACTGATCAGAATAGATACTACATGTGATCTTAGCCACAAGGTCTCTCTCTCTCTCTCTCTCTCTCTCTCTCTCTCTCTCTCTCTCTCTCTCTCACACACACACACACACACACACACACACACACACACACACANCACACACACACACACACACACACACACACACACACACACACACCCAAGGACCTCCGACGTGCACCGATATGGTTGCCTCCTCTCCCTCCCACCACCTTTCACTGCGTCACCATAGCAAGCCGCAAATGGCACCTCAAAAAAAAGAAGGGGAAAGTTATATATCTCCCCGACGGGGGAAATTTATAACTTTCCCCAAAAAACGAAAGAAAAGAAAAACCAGATAGGGTTCACCAGCAGTGTAACATCACTATTAAATATTTAGGGGTAACTCTTTTTTTTTTTTTTTTTTACTTACAGCAGAGTCACAAAAACGAGTTATAATTATTGCACTATAATGGGGCAAGATACAGTTTGCAATTGCAGTTTGGGCACCCTACCTGGCCAGAAAGCTGGGTTGTACACATTGCAGGCCCGAACTGCAATTCGAAACTGTATCTCGGCCCATAGTGCAATTATAACTCATTTTTGTGACTCCCGCGTAGTTTCCCTAAAAAAGGCAAACAAAAAAAAAAGAGTAATTGGATCATCATAGCATACTGGATATGGCCGCAAAAAAAAAAAAAAAAAAGAAGGTATATGGCGCCTCAGGCGTTGATCGCATCCTGTCGACGGGCAACGCCAAGTGGTTTCGTTGAACCAATACCGACGAGACATATGTCGGCAGTCGGAGATCCCGACACGATGGCGATGAAGATGACGGTCACAGAAATGAAATGAAATCTTCCATTTCGTTGAAACGATACCGCCGACGCATGTCGGGAGTCGTAGTCGAAGGTCCCGACACGATGAGATGCAACGACGACATGACACGTGTCAAGAGGGTTGAGACATTGGGGAGAGAACGCGCAGCATCTCCATCCCTCCCCTCCCTTCCCCCCCTCCCCCCTCCCCCTTCCGCACACTTGTCCCCCCTCCCTATGCGTCCGTCGCCCTCGCCGTCAGCTCTGCCACCACTCTCTCCCCTCTCTCACATCTCCTCACCACCGAAATCGATGATCAGGATGGACCAGCTTGACAAACATAATCCCAGGAAAAAAATGAAAAACAAACGCCGGTTTTTTTGCTCCTCCCCGATCCCGATCCTCATCCTGATCCTGCTCCCGATCCCGCGTAGGCAGTCAGAGTTGCACGGCTTGATCACACATCACACTCCAGAAACGACAAAAATCCCCCCCCCCCCCCCCMAAAAAAAAAAAAAAAAAAAAAAAAAAACCCAGTAAAAGTATGCACTACATATGTTTTGCCATTACGTGTTCTCTCTACTGGAAAAGAAAAAAAAATTGTCTTCCTATGTTATAGGGGTGGTTCCCGAAACACACACACACACACACTCACACACTCCCACACTCCCACACACACTCCCACACTCCCACAGACACACACGCACACGCACGCACACACACAGTTTGAAATGCACTTCAGCCATTCCCCCGAACATAACACACCCCCACATGACCCTACCGGACCGGAAACCTACCTTGTATACATTCGACATTTTCAGGCCTTTTGCCTGAAATGCATTTTCAAGCTCGAACCCTGATCCGCCGTAGTTTTTCCTCTATGATATCTTACATTCTCTATCTCATCTGTTCAAGTTTTTGGCGCCCAATTTTCTCAACACAAATAATATTATCCCTTTTTTTTTCTTGTTTTTTTTTTACCATTTCTCGATTTATGTGTCTCATACGTGTACAGGGGCCATGCTAATCTTATCTTGTCCATATCTCATCTTGTCTTAATCTTATCGTATCTTAATTTTATCTTATCTTATCTTTATCTTTATCTTTATCTTATCTTATCTTTATCTTTATCTCATCTTATCTTAATCTTATCTCATCCTACTCTTATCTTATCTTATCTTTATGTTTATCTTATCTTAATCTTATCTTAACTTAATCTTATCTTATGTCAATCTTATCTTATCTTATCTTTATCTTCATCTTTATCTTATCTTATCTTACTCTGTCTATATTTGGCTTTAGCGTGTATTGTCCAAGCCAGCTTAGATACTTATTGGAGCCGTTAACAACTGGTATTTAAATTTTTGGCGCCAAATTTCCTCAACGCAATTAATCTTATCGTGATTCCTCATCGTATCTTATCTTATCTATACTTGGCTCTTGCGTGCTATGTCCAAGCCAGCTTAGATATTTATCGAAGCCGTCAACAATTGGTAACGCCACAAAAATGTGTCCTCATCTGTTATATCTTACATTCCCTATCTCATTTGTTCGAATTTTTTTGGCGCAAAATTTTCTCAATCCTTATGATCTCATCTTGTTCGAATTTTTGGCGCCAAATTTTCTCAATCCTTATGATCTCATCTTATCATATTTTATCTATATTTGGCTCTCGCGTTAGATATTTATCGGAGCCGTCAACAATTGGTAAGGCGATGACCTCAGGTACGGAGTACGGATGGTTCTCGCTGACGTATCTCTCCACATTCGTCATTAGACTGACACGTGTCTTCAAGACAAGTAGGAGCTCCCCATCCCTCTCGATCTTTCCTTCCCGCGTGTAAACGGACACAATCCCTGGCACGATACTCACACACGCCGCCAACTTGCTTTCAACGGGACCCAGTGCCAATTTATCGGCAGTTTCTTGATTAGGCACGCTAACAAGAACGACGGAAAATGCAAACGAAGAAGACGATGATGGAGGAAGAGGAGAAGTACCATCTTCTTCTCCTTCTCCTTCTCCTTGGACTCGTATTCCATCCTCCTTCGATGACGCGTTTGCGCGTGTGAAAGAAGAAGAAGAAGAAGAAGAAGAAGAAGAAGAAGCGGAGATGGCGGTGGCTATGGCGGTGGTGGTCCTTGCAGCTTTGAGTGGTGCAGTACTGTTCCCCACCATCGCGGCCTCAACTGTTGAACCATCGATCTCCGAGAACGATCCCCCCGATCTCGACGTCGCTTTCCACTCGGACATTGATCCCCATCCCGATCTCGACCTCGATCTCGAACCCGATCCCAATTGACAGCGCTGCTTTCCATCCCTCAGACGACCCGAATTTTTAATGTTGTCGATCGTTCTCATCATCATCGACATTGAGTGGCGACGACGAGCTGAGGGCCATGATGATGATGATGATGATGATGATGATGATGATGATGATGATGATGATAATGATGATGATGATGATGATGATGATGGCGACCACGATCCTGACCGATAATGACGGTAATGACGGAAACAAAAGGAATTGTGGCGCTGCTCCTGTCTACCGGGAGTGATGATGGCGAGCCCGATCCGATCGAAACCGATGGACAAGACGACACCTTCTTGTAGAGTTCTGCAGGTGTGCAGCTATCCACGTGGCAGATTCTGCGCGTCCGCCATAGCCATGGAAGGGGAAGGCGATGATGACAATGGTTAGAAGAAGAAGAAGAAGAAGAAGAAGAAGAAGAAGAAGAAGAAGAAGGGTCATGGCGATGGTGGCGGAAAAGAAAGGAAGACGAAGAGGAAGACGTCCACGTGGCAGCTTTTGAGCCCTTCGAGGAGTGCGTTGAAAAATACTTTGCGGTGACCGTTCGGCAGGAGGAGGATCGTCTGGAGGCGTCCGCCAGGATGACCGGTCGCCAGCATGATCGTCTTGAGACGTTGGCGACGACGACCGGTCGTCTGTCGCGCAGCATTCTGCTCCACCTGCGCTGTCCGTTGAATTGCCGCCAAATCCTTTTCCACGAAAGGAGTGACGTGGCCGAAAAAGCGACGGACTGCCCTCTCCTCTTCGATCTCCTCTTCCTCCTGATATTGCTGCTGCTGTTGAAGCTCGTCCTGTTGCCTCGCACGACCCCTTGGCCGGGTTTTCAACTAGGTACACATGCTTGTCGATGGCTGCGACAGCTCTCAGACTGGGGTTGACGTCAACGGTGCCGCGCCATAGCCATGTGGCCATAGCTGCAGAGGATGCAAACCGGCGCGACGTGCTGGTCGTTGTCGGCAACCAAAAACTTTTCGTCCCCATCCTCATGCCCTTGCTGCCTTTCAATTCCTTCCACCGCGTATGTTTGGCGCGCAGCAGCTGCCGTTTTGGCGCCCGACACTTCCCCTCGCCCTTTTACCCTGGGCGGGGAAGCCTCCTCCGGGAGGAGGTCCCACTAGCAAAGAAGAGTGGATGGACTGGCTGCATCAGGACGTGTTTTAGGAGAGGTGCAGAAAGTGGAGATTGAACTGCTTTTCTGCACCTCTGCTTGAACAACATCCAGATTCAGGAGCTTAATGCAATCCTCTTTGCTAGTGGGACCTGGGCCCGGATGAAGGTAGCAGGTAGGCCAAGGGGAAAAGGACCAACTTTAGCAGGTAGGCCGGTACCACTCAAGTAGTGGTAGATGTGTCCGGGGCCAAGGTCCCACTTGCACAGATTAGGAGATTTCGGTCGTTGATCTTCTCTATCTACGGTGAATATCTCTTAATTCGTGCAAGTGGGACCTCGCCCCGGAACTCGAGGCCGAGCAGAAGAAGACAAAAGTCGGCATTTTTAGAGGCCTAGGAGTTGCTAGGGTAGGTCTAGGGGGGTACCAGTCCAAGTAGCCTGAGTCTAAGGGCCTCGTTCCACACCACTCCACTTTAGAAATACTTGAGAAATTCACCGTTCGACATTGCACTGCACTTGACTTTCAGTTTCCCTAATCGTGATTAGGCTTCCCGCCTCTCCCGGCGCCCTCCAAAAACGTCAAGTGCAGCTCAAGTGCGGCCCATGCGAATTTGTGAATTTTTCAAGTCACCTCTCTGGCCACACTTGAGCCGCACTTCAAAACGGCACAAGTGAGGTGTAGGGGACGTCCTTTCCCGCTTTAGGGTCTCGTTAGACACTCCTAAAAGAATCCTAATTTTTTTAGGACGAGTCCTAAAGGTTTTTTAGGATTTCGTGCGGCGTCGTTACACGCAATCCTAAAAATCATCTCTTAGGATTCGTCCTAAAAGGTCCCCCGCGGCCGGTTTTCATATGCGTATACGCAGCCGCGTCGCCGATGTCCGTCCATTCCGGGGTGGTGTCCGTGGTACACACTGCGGAGGCCCTTGGGCGGGTGAGGGGGAATCGGTGAAAAGCGCGGTCACCCAGACCTTCAAAAATTCAAATTCGAATTTTCGCGGACGCAGGGTGACGGGGCGGAGGACGGCCAGGTGACGCGTGTGACGTACAAAAGACGGCGCTGGCGAACTGTTCGGCGTGGGTATCCGTCTTCCGCGTTCACGCAAGTTGTGACCAGCGAGCGCATCTTCCTGCAAGGAGCATCTTCACCTCCACCGTGCGTGCTGTCCTGTGGAAGCGTAGAGCAGCGGGCGCGTCTTTGGCTCCGGCGTGCGTCATCTCCTGTGGACGTACAGCAACAGGCGCATCTTCGGCTCCGGCGTGCGTGGTCTCCTGAGCAGCGGGCGTGTCTTTGGAGGTTGTAGCAGGCTTCAAGCTGTAGAGGCGGAAGGATTCTCAGAGATGGACGTTCGCGGCTGCGGGCAGGGTCTACGCGAAGAAGAGATCGACGCAGTGGCGATGGCGGTGACTGTCGTCGTCGTCAACACGATGAGCGCATTGAGCGGTATGTCGTCGCCCTCACGCGACATGCTGACGCAGCTCCATAAACGAAGAGCGCTGTTGCAGAGCATCGCCGAAGCGCCGGATTGCGTGGCCACGTGTGAGGCAGTCGTCCAGTTGTGTGTCGCGCTGTCATCTGGCGTTTTCCCGCGGCAGATACCGCGTTGGTGGATTAGACGACGGACTGGCGGAACATGGGAGAACCTCCGCCTGTGTGATGACGCGACGGACGAGTACTACCGCCAGAAGTTGTGCATGTCGATGGCCATGTTCCGACAGATCGTTGCCGCGTGCGCCGCGTACGTGGAGAAGAAGGTCACGCACTATAGGATGCCATTGCCAGCGGAGCAAGTGATCGCTTTCGTGTTGTACAGGTGGGCGTCAGGAGAGACGTACGAGAGCGGCACGTCAGCCTTCGGCATCGGCAGGGCAACTAGACTGCAGGCCGTCCGCGACGTCACTTCAGCGCTGCTGCGGGCGTACCCCGACGCGATAAAGTGGCCAGTGGGCCATAGACGTGCGCAGATTCTGTGCACTTTCCGTGAGAAGGGTTTCCCGAACTGCTTCGGCGCAATCGACTGTACACACATCTACATTGACAAGCCCGTCGGCGCACCTTCCGACAACTACTACGACCGCAAACAAAAGTTCTCCGTGCAGGCGCAGGTGGTTGTGGATTTGGATCTGCGGATCCTCGACGTCCACATTGGATACCCGGGAAGTGTGCACGACGTCCGTGTCCTGTACAATTCCCAACTATGGAGGCGTGCAAAAGCTGGCGAGCTGTTCGACGCCCCTCCGGAGAATCTGCCGCACGGTGTCGTTACGCAAGGTTACCTGCTAGGCGACAACGGTTATCCAGTTGCCTGTCCATGGATCGTGCAGCCGTACGGAGGAATCGACCAAGGTCCTGACGAGGAGCGTTTCGACACGCGGCAGAAGGTGGCGTGGGGGTGTGTTGAGAGGGCATTCGGGTGACTGAAGTGCATGTGGCGTCTGTTCTTGCGCACCCACAAGACAAACCTGGAGACCTTGCCACATCAATTCGTGGCGGTGTGCACTCTCCACAACATCCTCCTCGACGCGGGGATCGACTTCGATGAGAACCTTTTGTGGGAGGTGGATGAGAATGGCGTTCGGCGCAGAGTAAACTTGGGCATTGTGGGGAACGGCGCGGGCGGGCGGCGGAGGAGCACGAACGTGGACGGGGACTTGTTGCGGGATGCACTTCGAGACCGCCTAGCTCTGATGTAGGACCATTTGGACGGGAGGGGGCAGGGCAGGGGGGGGGGGGGGGGGGGGGGGGGCGGGTTCGTGCAATCGGTAGGCGGGTGGGATTTTGTCGTCGCCTGTGTCCACGGTCGTCGTGCGCGTAGTTACTGGGTCGATTGAATGGCGGCGTGGTTGTCGCGGATGAGTTCCTTTGTTCTTTTCATCGTGTGGACGGTTGTGTGGTTCGTACAGTTGTGCGAACGTTTAATATTGGAAGAACCCTTTTTTTTTGTGTCTCTCCCAAAATTGTTTTTTTTTTTTTTTATGTGTGTCTTCAAATTGTTTGTCTTCAATGCTTTCGTGTGGTGGGAAGTTCTTTTTTTTTTATTTTGTGTGCCTCTTCATCTCTTTTTTTTTTTGTTTTTTTTTTTAATTTTATTTTTTTTTATTTTTCTCTGTCTATTCAATGCGATTGTGAGGAGTGTTTTCGTGTCGTGGTGTGGTGGGACGTCGAACATGGCTGTTGAAATCATTGATGAAAGCTGCATAACGTCAGTTAACGAAGAAAATAAAATAAAATAAACATAAACATGGATTGTGTGCATGCATAGGAGGCAATCATCTTTAAATCATTCCACCGAAGAGACGAGAACAACGGACACATGACAGGAAAAAAAAGGTGCGCTAAAAGCGCTATGGAGTTCTTGCGCAGTGAACTGCGATGATAAAAACACAATACAAGAATGAATTCAATGAACTCGTCGTCGGCTCCGACGACCTGCACACTAAACAGCTGCTCTAAACGATCGACTCCACGATTGAAATCAATCAACCCGTCGATGTGCCACAACAAACGCGCTAAACATCTACGCAATCGACAACGATTCTGGCGAATGAATTTAACCGACACACTAAACAGGTGCGCACTTCACAACGGTCCAACCACAGTGGAGCCCATCACGACCAGACACGTGTACACGCGCCTGCGTTCACAGAAGTACCCTCCCCCCCCCCCCCCCTCCCCCTCCCCCGCCTACGCGTCATCTTTTTCGTCGTCGTTGTTGTCATCATCGGGGCGGCCCGATCCCAACCAATCCAGCTTCTTCGCATCCTCCGGCCCCGTTGTGCTCGCGTCGTGCCTGAAACCAATGCCGCAGGGTGCCCATTGAGGGATGTAGTCGGGGCACTCTCCTAACGCGGCGTTCGCATTCCCGAGCCTTTCCGTGACGACATTTGCGGCGCGGACGACAGATTGTCGATGATCGAAGGAGCGATGCATGGCTGCAACGAGTGTGGGCTTCGCCACAAGGCTCGCGAAGTAGAAAGCTTCGTAGTGGCTGCGTGGATCGTCTCCCGCCATGCACATTATCCACATGCACGCCGCCAACAACAGCCTGAAGCAGTCAGCCACCCGACAAAGACGATCGTGCGAGATGAAATCGCCGTCGATGAGCGCACCCATTTGCACCGCCGCGCGGAATGCATGCGTGACGCAGATTACAATGGACTCCTGGTGCACCGCCATGTCGCTGTCGTCTGGTCTGTCCTCGATGTTTGCGTCGGCGAACCACCGTGGCAAGTCCATGGATAGATCTATCGTGTGGGCGTAAACCGCTGGACTGACGACGTTGCACCACTCCTCGCCGTACCACATAGCACGCGCAATGTCCGTCGCTACAGACTCTAGCGAGTACTGGAAAGCCATGTTGTATCCCCTTGGGCGGTTCCCCAACTTGAATACCCAGCCGTGCAAGATGCGCAGAGCAATGTTCTCCACTGCCGCCGCACGGGAGATCGCTTGCTGCAGCTGTGAATGGTCGGCGATCCTGGCCACCCTCGTGCTGGATTTAGGCAGTACGAAACTCCGAGGGACGGCAATCGGTGGAAGTCCGCTGGCGATGGCGACAAAGTACTCTCTCGTTTCGTGGATGATGTTGTAAAGTCTTCACCCCTCCCCCGTCGTCCAGAAAGATTTGTCATCAACCCAAAGGACGGCACGATCGATGAGGTCTTTCGTCATGACTCCCCTACGTACCCGGCTTGAACCGGGTTCGCCGCCCTCCCGATCGGTTTTCTTCTTGCCGCGCGCATCCTCTCTTGCAGTCGCCACAACTGCTGGCTCCTCTCTCGCCGTTGCAACGGGGGCCATAATGCCTGAAGCACCCGCACCCGCAGCACCTGCCGGCTCGCCCCCAACTTCGAGCACGTCTGCCACGACTTCCCCCCCGCCGCCGCGTTGGACGGACCCTCCGTCATCACCCGGGTTGCGCTGATGTGGCTGAGACGGCGTGGCGGGTAGTCTACCCGTAACTGGCCTTTCGTCTACCGCAGCGCGTGCCACCACCACCGGCGGTGGGGTTGCTGTTGTACGAGTGCACAGGCGACGTTTTCCCAAGGGCTCGTCATCTTCGCAGCCAAGATCGACGACGACAACCTTCTCTGTCCGCCTTTCGCGGGCACGCAGTTGCTGCGCCTCGGGTGGCGGGGTTAGCATCCTCTTCGGAGCGCTGTGATCAGAAGAGTGCTGCCGACCGCTCTCCCGTACTGTAGACGTGGTCGCCTCTGCCTGCTCTTCCTCCGTCATGAAGTCTTCGTCGTAGTCCCCTTCTGCTGCTGCCGCCCAACCTTGCAATCCATGAGGAGGCACCCTTGCGGACGCATCATCCTGCCGCCGACCTCTTCCCTGCCCTTGGCTGTCGTCAGGGACTCCGTCGCGCTTCTTCCCACGGGCGCTCCCTCCCGTAGACATGCTTCGTCGCGACCTCTGTAGGCGAGCTTAGCGGTCCGATCGGATGAGCGGGAAGTGCTTCGTCGACCGCCATTTGAAGTCCCGCCGATCTGGCGAGAAAATTGTCTCCCGTGCTGCTGTGGGGTGACGAGGACGAATACCCGTACGACGCAGAAGATCTGTCCTCCGCGGGAAGAAGACGACGACGTACACGCGGTGGACAGAAGGACGACGACCCCGGCAAGAGTGCTCCGCGGTGAAAAGATTGGCGGCGAGAAGAATTGGAGAGCGACGGTGACAGTGCTCCACGGCTAGTAACGATTGATGACTGACGTCCACGTGCACGCAAGAAGGACGACGACTCCAACGAAGATCGTCCACGTCAGGAGACGGCTAGAATGATGTCTGGGGCGGTCCTCCACAACACTGAAGATGTACTAGGGGAGCAGGCGACATTTATCCGCGGCGAGCAGGCAACATTTCTCCTCGGGTTGGGAAGCGCGCGACTGAAGTACTCTCTCGCAGATGGACCGCCCTTCACGTTGCTTCTCTGTGGCGGGAAACGGCATCGTCGACGGTGGCACGTGCGACCGCCCCGCCTACCCTGGCGTGTCATTTCGATCCTCCCCAAGGGCGAAAAAGACCCTTCGACGTCCCTAGCGATGCGCGTCAATGCACTCGCGAGGGAGCAAAACTAAGACAAAGCACCTTCACCCCTGGCCACCCCATCGCGTCTCCCCCTCGCACCCAGCGACCGACCCTAACAACCCCCCCCCCCCCCAACCCCCCCCCCCCCCCCATTCCACTCCAAAACCCCGTCGTCCACAATCCCAAAACCACACACACCCTTCCAGACGTGGCTGTCTAGTTGTCGAGCTACCAAAACGCAGACGACGCACTGTCGTGGAAAAGCATCAGAATATATATATATATATATATATATATATATATTACCCGCACAACTGTGTGGACAACACCCACACACACACACACACACACACACACACACAACCCGCCTCGATAGAAGAATACGTGAACGGAAAAAAAAATAAAAAAAATTACCCAACTACGAACGCAATGACTGGACTTGAATGAGCCCTACATCGTCGACCGACCACGGATGGCGGCAGCGATCTCCATAAGCGCGTGGCACATCATCCTCTGTGTCTCATCGGACGCCGCATAGTGCGTTTTTTGGACTGCAACCTCTTGCTCGAGTATGTCGCATTGCCTTGTGAATATGCTGCATTGCCGCTTGCTAGACGATTCGATCGTCGACGACATCAGTTCGCCATGCCGGTCCATGACATCAGCGATCGACTCCAAGGCTTGTTGACACGCATTCTTCCGCTTCCCGCCTCCAGCCCCACTGCCTGCGTTGATGTCGGAGTCCCTTGCAGAAGAACGTTCTTCACGGAAGCCTTCACCACCGGCCTCACTACCAACAGACTCCCCACCACCCGCTCCTCGCCTGGGCAGGTGCAACCCGTCCGGACTTTCGGTGTCGGCGACGTTCAGAGGAAAAATTGTATGGTTGCCCACCATCCCTGCGTGGATCTCGTTGTACAGCGCCCTCTCCATCCGGAACTTGAAGTTGTGCTCCTTCCTTTCTTCATTCGATAGCCCGAAGAAATCTGGTCTGCCGCTCGCATTCTGAAACCTATGTATCTTCTTGTAGTTTTGTAAGATATTGTCCTACTTCTTCATGCAGTCGTCCGCGTCTTTAGGCCTCCCCGCGTTCGCCATGCGCTTTGCAATGTCGTGCCACTTCCACTCCTTGGTCCGCATCCGCCCATAATTGTGACCCAGCCCGGCGAGGTGCATCTCTTGCTCCCGCTTGAATCTCACCAGTTGCATTTGCTCTTCCGGAGACCAGTACGTCGCAGACTTTCCGTCGTCGTCGCTGATGCCACCTCTGCCGCCACGGCCAACGGATCGACCACGAACAGCACCTCTGTTGCGTCCTCTCCCCCTCCCACTCGTCTTTCCCAAAGGCCGAATAGGAATGTCGTCGTCGTCGTCCCCGGCTTCCACGTCCTCCCTGAATCATTCGTCGGCATCGTCACCGCCACCACCATCGTCGTCGCCACCATCGCAGTGTGTCCACATGTTTGACACTCCTCGTGTGATGTTCTCCACAGTGGGTCCTGTACGCACAGGTGGTCTACATGCGGCCTCGTCCCTGATGTCGGGTTGGGTCGGCGTTGTGCGGTTGGGCATCGAAGGACGTGCACCGCCGATGGGCAGGGACCCAGCTGCGACTCCGTTGCATGTGGGGTAGGTACTTGTCAATTGATCGACGGACGGTGCAGTCAATCCATGCTGTCGGGCTACTGTCGATGGCCCGACACCGCCAGTAACGGATGCACCGGCAAGAAGTGTGGAGTGCTTCGTATGCTGACTTCCATCATGTTGAACGCCACGTGGCGAAGGATCGGCGTCGATAATGAACATACGGCTCGCCTCCCTAGCGCCGCCAGAACACAACCCGAACCTGAGATCAAGTCCCCCGTCGTCGTCGTCTCCCAAGCCTTAGTTCAGCAGTGAGGTGAACTCGCCGCCTTCGTTGCTGGCCGACCCACCTGCTTGCACCGTCTGCGACAAAAGCTACGTCGACCCACTGACAAGAGGCAACGTTGGAAGTTCTTCCGTCTCCGACTCCTCGTCCGACGGGGGCAATGGCGTCTCCCATGACTCTAGATGCCTGTACAAAGATGGGTCGTACCGCCGTGGAGGCTCCGCAGTCGGAGGTCGTCTTCCGCCCTGACCTGCACCGACACCTGCGAGTGCCTGCATGCCCGCCATCGGACGCTCCCCTGCCGCCCGTTTCGTTGACGCCCTCCTTTTGCGATGTTGTTTCCACGGCCGCCACGACAAACACACGTGGAGGAAGACGACAATGAGGAACAGGACGACAGCGAGTACCAGAAGATGGAGTATCCTTTGCACGTCAGCCATCAAATTCACCTCGGGCGCCATCCTCGCACGCGACGACTGCAGAAAAGTGTTCTGACATGCCGGGGGATAGGGCCGCTCGAGCTTCTTATGCCGACAACCAGCAGAGAAGACGACAAAGGTGCCTGCCTGCGATTCAAAAATCGGTCGTTGCCGCCCGCGCACCGCCCGACGCGCCTCCGTATGTCGTCCCGCGCATGTCATCCTCCTCCTCCGCCACCCGCAACCGAGCCAACGGTCCACTAAGGACACCCGCCCGCCCACGACCGCCCCCCTGCGCCCCACCCAGTCACCAACGGCTACCGTTGGTGGCCGTTGCCAGCGTCGACCCACAGAAAACCTCCAATGTCCGACCACCCACCCGACGAACCGCTAGGGTACACATGTAGTATCCCATTTTCGGATAAGGTCCCGTCGGCGTTCGCTACACAACTTTGAGTTCGACGTGAGGGTTTTAATCGAGTGGCTCTCTCCTTGTGTTCGTCCTCGCCACGTGTGCGGTAATGGAAACCCTTGGCTCTGTAACGCTCAGTGCGGCGATAGTTGCTGCACAGAGTGCTAGGCCAATGAGGCGCTAGTGCCAACCACGGGATGACGATCAACTCGTTAAACGGCAACAACAACGAATAAGGCAGAAAGTGCGTATCGATGATGACGAATCCCGCACTGACGAATCCGGAGCACCGAGTCTTGGGTGGGAAGTAATAACGCCCGCCAACCTTGGCGACGGCTTCTCGTACGTTCCACTCGTATACACGTGTCCTCTCCTCGTTGTACGGGAAGGGGTGCAGCGGGGGCACGGGAAGTCGGCGCCTAGTCGGATCGGGGTTGTCAATCCATATGGCAATAAGGGCAAAGCGCACGATTAATCAGGCATCATTCATTCCATCCCACGTTCATCTGATCAATCAATCAATATCCCTGTCATGCCTGTCTCTTATACACATCAATCAGGCATCATTCATTCCATCCCACGTTCATCTGATCAATCAATCAATATCCCTGTCATGCTGACACATGTTCTCAGACATAGTCCACTTCATCCATWTATCAAGTGAGAGGAGAGAAATCAGCATAACCCACTTATTATAGTATACACGTAGCAGAAGGAAGGTGTGGGTGAGAAGAGGCGTAGATCAGAGGAGAGAATTCAAGGCAGAAGATAATTACACAAGAAAGTCCGACAATCTTGACGAGAAATTTCGGCTCAAATGCCAGGTGAACGAAATTCATGCTCGAAGACTTATACCTTGAGACAAAGGAGGCCCATCCGCCATAAAATTTCACCATGGCCCCAGGCCATACACCCACTCAACCTTCGATTCGAACCTCACATCGGCACTGACGATCCCGACCGTCACGTGCTATCACCATAGCGATCGTCACCCCGCCGACTTAGTCTCTTCACGGTTTTGCCCGGATCCCACAGTCCGTCGGGCGATCCAAYGCACAGTCGAYAAGACTACAGTAAGCCCGTCAGGACTTTTCAACTCGCACCTGCACACGTACCGYCTAGCCATTGCTTCCTGGAAGCTGGCTGATGAGTTGAGAGAGAGATTTTCGGTGGTGCTTGCGGAATTTATAGTTGCGGAAAAGGAGGTCGATGCTAGGAAGGGTTAGGACTGAGGTAGGGAGAGGTAGGGGAAGGTTCGGGGAGCAACCCCGTGGCGACGGTGCCATGCGCGCGACGCAACGACTCCGTGAAACGCGGGAATCCTAAGTTTTTGATTTGGTCAGGGGCTACTGGAAAATTTAGGACGATTTTGCCTGGGGAATCCTAAATCATTTAGGACTCGTCCTAACGCCGTTTTCACATTTTGGATCTCGAAATTGGATTTAGGATTGCGTGCAACGAAAACGCAATCCTAAAAACAGGCACTTTTAGGAGTGTCTAACGAGACCCTTAGTTTTGGAGCCAACAGGCGAATCAGTGTAGCCAACAACCGCCGCCACTTTCCCGCCTCAGTTTATAGTGTGGAGTGGAGGGCAACATCGAACGGTGACAGACTCAAGTATATTTTAATGACGATTGCCCTGTGAGCGGGCTCAAGTGCGGCCCTTGAAAGTGAAGTGAAGTGAAGTGGTGTGGAACGAGGCCCTAAGACCTGTGCAGACGATATTAGAGCCTGCAATGATGT